GAAATCATGCCGCATCAACCTTCAGCAAATAATGGGTAAGTATTTAAATTATACGCTATGTACTATACCATTTCATTCTCTGTTTACTATAATTATACATTCAACATACTAATTAAATTTCATTCTCACCTATCTTTTTCATAGGCCAAATTCTGGAGTATTTTTACTTAAATACATAGAATGTTTAGTTCGAGGTTACCCAATAGAATCAATTTCTGCAGACAGAATGATTTTTTATAGGCGAAAGATTGCCTTAGATATTTGCTTCAATGATTACTTCGTCCATCCTCATTGACTCTTACACTTGTGGGTAATCATACCTGTTGAGAAGACAGTATTTATGGCCAATTCTACATAAGATTTGATAACTTTCAATACTCCTTTTACATTTCTCATTTTTGCATTTATTTTATTTCAGAAGTTTTTTCTTTCTTCTTTTTACATTCATTTCATTTCAGAAGCTTTTTCTCAACTGTTTATATCGTAGTAAAAAACTGTCATTCTCTGTGTTAAATTAAATTTAAAACGGATTTGAAGTTGTACTTCACTTTCTTTTCCTAATTTTTTCATACAGGTTTCCTCAATTGCGAAGAAATACTGTAAACTCATGCCAAGGAAGAAACTCCAAGCCAAGCAAATTGTTTTCTTGTATTAATTTCATGCTTGATCTGCCCCTGTTTCTAAAAGTTCAATGCATATATATATGTAGGATTATGAGCGTGCCTTCTTTTATTCATAACCATTGAGGCTGCTATTGTTTGCATAGCAATTGTTTGATATTTGTTTCCAATGGGATCCTTGTTTTATACTTGACATTATGTTCCACCTTGTTGCCTAACTTTCACTCCAGAGATATGTTTATAAATCTATATTTCCGTGTGTTTATGAGATTGGTATACCTTAAATAATTCATATAATATCGAGCATGCAATATTTCACTGTGAATACGTAGACTGAAAATACGAACCAAAACAAGCATAAGAAATTCCAAATTAGCACTACGGGAAAAAAATAAAAACATAATACTAAACGCTACGGGTCATAGATATTCCATTTTTCCACGCTAACGTTACCTTCAAAATTACGATTGCCCGTGCATTGCACAGGCGATAAACTAGTATTTATTAAAACTGTCAAAGGTATTGGATTAAGTTCCAAGTATTAGACATTTGAAGATAAAGCGAAATCTGGCATACACTTGAGTGGAATATTGAAGATAAAAATATAAATGAAAAAAATTCACTTCTTTTAACTGACAAGGTGGTTAGATACTAATGTCGCAAAGCTTATATAATTATGTCGAGATCTATTGAAGGATAACTGGGTGAATTTTGTTTTCATCTAACCTGAAGCAGAGCATTATATTTTATTAGATGATAGTGAAGCCTAGCTGATTTTTTTTAAGAGATGGAAACAGACAAGGGCTTTACTACTTTTTTGATGTACCATTCCTTTTGTTTATCAAGATTTCCCTCTTTTGCAGTTCCAATTTCCACCTGAGGGGGCTAAGTCACAGTGGTCATGGAGAAATAGATCACAGTTCTTTTTATGGAACTCAGACCACTGTAAGTTTGCACAAGTTTTATCCGTTTGGTAATAGTAATTTGAATTATTTGTTTTATTACTTCAGTACTTCAGCATGTTCAGATTTTAGTCAAGTAACATTATTTGCTGTTTGAAATGCACAACAGCTGATCAAATTACCGTAAATTGCTTGATACAAAAGCTCATTTGAATCCCTCGCCCCATGAATTCAGTATGTTTTGTGCGTTTTTACGATGTCAGCATTCTACTCAAGGCCATTCTTCCCATAAAACTCGAAAATTTCCAAAATGGCAGTTGTGAATTTTTGGCAAGTGTAGGATGTCAGAAGTGTGAATTTTTGGCAAGTGTGCAATGCCATATCCATCGAAGATCATTATCTTTATGCTATCTACATTTTGTACTTTGTTAACTCTTTTGCATTTGAAAATATATGCTTCATAACTCTTCCCGTGACTTGATTTTGGTAGAGAAATATTCTATAGTGACAATTGATTTTGCATTGGTCATAAGTACACGCAGCCAGCACAAAAAGGTATTTGATAATAGTTTCATTTTTTTTTTCTATGTTACTTGGAGCTTGGTGAAGTTGTTAGGTGCCGGCTCTGATGCTCGGACTCTTCAAAAGAGTTGTAGTGTCCGTGTCGGACACGGCACGACATGGGTATCTGTATGAGTATGTGATATGGGTCGGATCCTCCAAATTTCAACCGGACACTTCTTCGTTTTTACTTCTTCCTTCTTTTTCTTCTTTCTTTCTATTTTTTTCTTTTCCTTTTCTTTCCCTTTTCTTCTTTCCTACTTTTGCTCTCTATAATTTAGCGTCGTCGTCGAGAAGATGAAGAAAGGTGGTGGTGCTAGGTTTTTTCTTCTTTCTCTTTCCATTTTCTTCTTTTTTTTATTCTTTCTCTCTCTATATGGGTGGTTTAGGGTTTTTTTTGTATAAAATGAAAATGGATTCCATATAGTGCTACTTAGGGCTCCACTAAGTCTAAATTACAATCAAATTCCTCATTTTCTATTTTATATAATATTTAGTAATTCTTATAATTGAAAACTAAACCCTAAAATTCTATTTTATTCTTCTTAACCGCTTATTAAATACTTATTTCCTTCATTGTGAATAATTAATTTTGGTCTATTCAAAATGACATCTTAATTTAGTAAAAAAACTGAAGTTTGAAAGACGTATAACGTACCCACGTTTGAAATTTGAACTCTTTTTAATTATGTCCACATATCCTTCATTTTAGAAAATATAAGATCTGACACTTAAATAGGCACCAGTACCCAATACCTGTACCCGAGTTCGAACATTGTAGGGTGCCCAGCTTGTGTCCGAATGTAAAATTTTATCAAATCTTTGGATTTTGGATACCTGGCCTCGAAAAGTTTGATGGATGGTTCTTGTGTTTTTATTTAAACTTCTATGAATTTGATGTATCCTCTATGAGGATTATTTATGAACGTGCACTGGATCACAAATGTAACTTGTGCCATAATGTAGTTGGTACTTTTATTCTAAAAGTAGTTTTATTTTTATTTTTTAATATCAATACCGTGTGATCATGTTGTTTTAGTTTATAAATAGCTTGTCATTTATCATAAAATTCACATTAAGTAGAGTTTAATTTGATTTATAGTAATCAAATTATTAACAATTTCTTTTATACACATAATCATGGTGCAACACGTTCAATGCACGTGCCATAGACTAGAAAGCTATGTAAAGCAAATTACTTGTCATGGGTTATTAACTTTGGGTGCCTCCTATCTGTTCCGCGAGCTTCATGGGTTCCATGACTTGAGTACTCGAGCTTCACATTCAAGTATATCTTCTGTGGAGACTTTTGTAGAAGACGCGTTTCATGAGCTGTTAACTTATTTCCAGCAGTGGGCAGAATAATAACACTACAAACTGACCCCAGAAACATCTATTTGACTGGTGAAGGGGAATAATCTCAACTGATGGTTTTGCCATAATAAAAAACGTGGTTAACAATGAACCATCCCATGTTTTCTGGATAAATTTACTTGAGGGAGGAATCCTAGGTGGAAATTTTTGTCCACTCCACTGTCAAGGGATAAAAAGAAAAGCAAATGCCTTGATGAGTTATTAGTGGCATATGGTTATCCATATGAGAAATATAAGAGTGTGCATCTTAAGGTTAAATATCCCGACAGGAGAGAAAACTGACCTCATCCGGGGCACAGTAAAGCAATCACTCTGACTATGGGGAATACGCTGATCTATGGTTGCTCATCCTTATTTGAACTTTTACTTTTTGCGGCGTCAGATCAGGCACGTGAAGTTTCATAGTATCTTTTTTCTGTGTTGATAATTTCCTGTGAATGTTATGTTAGACGTTAGTATATCAACTTTCCGTCTTGAACTAATTTTGCACTTGGTATACTAAATTTGATAGTCTAGTCCACAATTTACTGTTGTAAAAATAATTTGCCATTAGATTGGGACAATCCCTTGTGGCTTGCTTTTTGACTTCCATCAGTTTTCTTTGATTCATTAAAGGATGAAGTTTCATGATTGCTTCACATTTATCTTCTTCGTGATACATGTCTCATGGGCTGTGAAAATTGTAAGTATCGTGCATATATTGGTGATGTTATGTATCCGTATTTGTCGTAAATAATGACTAATAAAACATCTTCCTGTTGTCTGCTATATACTACCTTTGAAGATGGTAACATGTTTCCACAATTCACTAGCATGTATATTAGTATTACTGTTAATCTTTAGCTCAACATGATACTTATCCATAATATTTGTAAGCTGGTGAAATCCAGTAAATCATACATATTGCTGTACACA